GCTGCATTGTAATCAGAAAATACACACGTTTCAAGGTCTTCTGTACAAATTATATGAAATTCTGACATGTCCATGGTCATTTAAAAAAATCAAGGCATTTGCATTGTCTATAATGTAGAGTAATCCAATATGACACTACAGTACTAAACATTTTCTTTTTTTTTTCTCAAAAATTAAATGATACACGCTGTTTCCTCAAGGCTAAAATTTCACTTTCAAATTTCTTTACTTTTAAAAAATTAGTATTAAACTATGACAATTTTATAAACTCAATGACATACTTTACGACAAGCACTGTATGTTTATTATGGATGGTCGGATAAGGTATTGTATCGTAAGTTAGAATGTTAGTTATCCCTGATTCACACAACATAAAATATTAAACGAATGCTAAATCTTGCACAGCCTCCCGGGATATTCCTACCGTGCAAATAGGTTCATCTTCATACTTTAAAAATCTACAATTTATACGCGGACAGTGAAGATGCAAAACACAGTAAAGGATAAGTTGCACGCTGTTATTATATGCACAGATCCATGAAAAGTAGCTCAGAAGTGTTAGAGGCCTCTGCAATGCATTCGTTTTTCTTACACATTTTAGATATTAAACAGGACGTATGCCGCTAAAGATGCGCATTCACAGGGACGTACATCAACATGTGTTCAATTTTGCATAGCATGGGACATAACATTTGTTCTTGTGTGAATTGGATAACTTTAATCTATAGAAATTCAAATGGCTTATACAGTCATGTGGTGAGTTACTTTCTGTCCAATGAGAATGAATGTTTTACAATAAACAAATTTTCCTTTTTCAGTTATCAATTCATTAAATATAAACAAGTGCACACCTATCAGTACACAAAATTTCAAATAAATTTAGACCACTGTTGAATCAGACATGCAGAAAAACTTTGGAACTTACTTCTTAAATTATTAAACCAACTGAATTAATGTTTACTGATCTAAAATAAATAATTTTTTGAGACACCTTCAATTAAAGCTACAGCATCAGGCCAACTTTGCATAAAATAGCTCCCTCTATTGATAACCACAAACAAAAATAAACCATAACTTTTTTTTAAGTCACACAAGTCATAAACATTTCTTACCATAGGAAAAAACATGATACCTCAGTATTAAAGGCAGAATAAATCAATCTACACCATTCAAGAAATGTAGTACATTACCATAATTTAAAGGTTTGAATGACTTCTATGTCCATATATGGTCAGCAGTGAACACTACATTGAGTCAAAATTGTCTCCTGACATTTAAAACTTCTTATTCAAATCAACATGAAATTCCTGTTGTGCCATAAACTCAACTTTACATAGAAAGTCTTTAAATACACGTTTAAAAGGTCTGCTTAATCATTTTAACCAACGGTGACACTATCAGTTATGTTTGAATACAGGACAGTAAGTGCTATCAGCACCTTTGTTGATTACTAGCATTGGCATATGCCAGCTACAATACTGTATTGTAGATAATCAAACAAGCACTGTCAGTACTTATATAATTTCTGTAGGCTTCTGTCCAGAGTTTAATTAAGAGCAACACTCATTTGAGTGCATAAAAAAAAATGCATATGCATTATACTCTAATTATTATAAACCAGGGAAAAATATTGGCATAAATTTTAGTTTTATGCAAAAGAATAACAAAATACAGACTATTTCTCATAGGAGATTACCATTTTTTTGACGAATTCTTAGTTACTAGGCAAATTCAGAGGTTGTAGATTGCATCCGCTGGAATGCTTTCGCTTTTATGTATACTTTTATAGTCAATAAAAATGCACCCTCTCTAATGAGATTAGTATTTGTACTACACATCTCGCACACTGTGGTTGATCGAGTAGGCCTGAGATATGTTTGATTAATTGTCAAAATATCAGACAGAATATTTTTTTTAACAAATTTGAAATAATTCCTACAATACTAGCAATGGAAAATACCATGTCAGCTGTTTTTATGTGTAATAACAGAACCTAAATCGAGGTAAGGCTAGGCCTAGTCTAGCAGTGTTGGATAGGCTGATGTTTCCGGCGCCTAATATATTTCTTCGTAGACCTATCGCAAAATCAAACATAAAAAATTCATCCACATTTATTTTTTGTGTGGAACACAAAAAATTAAATTTCTGTCTTATTTTACATTTTTTTTCATGTTTAGGAATGTCTCAATTCAGTTAAACTAGCAATTTCGTATTATATTTATAAATCTTTATAACATATATAAAAACCAGATTTTTCTTAGCCACTGAAATTTTGACGGGAATGGGGCTTCAATATGGAACATTAGAACAGTGTCATGTTTACCTGACTTGATACAACACACAGTATTTAGCATTTGAGAGAGGTTCTTGGTGAAAAAAAAGCATGTTTGGTGCAGTTTCAATTTTTATTTGAGGGTAGAGCTTATAATGATTTTTATGAAAATCATTATTAACAATTAGTTTAGTAATGATTTTAAAACTAATAAAAATTTGTTATTAAAAATCTGATGTAAAAGACGCATATGATCTACAGTGCCAGCTGAATAATTGCACTGTTAAAAGAATCGAATAAAAAAAAAAAAAAAATAAAAACCAAAAAAAAAACCACTGATGTGCTAATGTTGATAATTAACAACGATGATGATGATATGCACTAGGGGACTGTATGACATTGATGTTTTGCTTCTAGAGAATTTTCCATAAAAATACCCAGAATACTTTACATTTTTACACTGGTTACTAGAGACATTATGAAGCACATTATGTGAAATAGCAAAAATGAGGAGGAAATACGTCACATTTTTTATGTTTGGTTCAGACGTACGCTGGGCCGAGGCTTGGTGAAAAAGGTTGCAGAACGCTGGCTTAATCACATGATACAGACAGATATGAATTTTATTATTACTTGGTAATCAAAAAAATGTTTCCATATATCGGACTATACCATAATGCTCAATTTTACATGTTGACTCTTTTTTGCCAGATAAACTTAAGTTATACTTTATTTTGTATTTATTATTTAATTTAAAACTTACATGAAAATAACTACCATAGTTCAGTAACTGTATACTCAAATTCATTTCCTTTTAAGGCATCAGAATTATAAAGAGTACAAATAATATATCAAATGACTTTTCCTAATTTTCACCACACTGAAACTAATATCCACAGGAAACAACTAAGCCCACATATCAACTAGAGCAGACACTTATGAAGTGTTTATACCTCAGCCAGACCTCATTATCAATGTGATTTTCTCCTCTCCCCACCCCTCCCTGAATATCTGTAACTTTAAAATTTGACTTTTTTACACCCAGATTTAATCACCTTTTCCTTACACTACTACAGTATGTACCACTCCACTAAATTTGATGATGACCCATTCATTGGATTACATTAATTCAATTTGTAAAATGCCTGTTGTTAAAACAGATAATCCACTTGGCACATGGTCCATAGTGTACTGCAAAAATGCTGTTAAAAAGATCATTTTAATGCAGATTTGCCTAAAAAAATCAAATGTGGAGATCAGAAGTTTGATGGTAAATCTTTAAGAATAACTGCTGGTTTAGAGAATATTAACTAAAATAAAATTTATCAAATTAATTGCTTTCTTTTTAAGTTATATGAGCTTTCAATTAAAATTTCATATAAAAAAATTTGGTTTTGTCCCTACACTGATGTAACCTTGATTTCTATACTCTTATGACTAAAATTTGATTGACTGGTAATGAATTCAAAAAATAAATCAAAGAAAAATGAATTGGTTCAACTGTGCGTCTGGAAGTTAAAACCTTTTTTTCTTTCATCCCCATTTTACTTTATATTTTGACAGGCTTTCAAGATTTTATTATCATTCACAATATCATTTTTTGTTATCGGTGATACTGAAAAACAACAAATTAATATCAAATAAGTTAGAACCTACTTGAAATGAAAAATCAAATTATGAGAAGGAAAAAGTGGGTGATACAGTAATCCAATTAGTGGCAATAGGGTTTAACAAAGAGGAAATATTGCTACTAATGTTGAGAGATGATAAAGACTATTAATCTGCATGATGTCAAGAGACCCATATAGACCACCTAGACAGTAAATCATCCGAAACGCATCCATTTGCGAGTGATTTATCACACATGTCTGAACTAAGATGATCCTACTATTGTATGTTACAGATACAATATCAAATGAGTGCTTGGCCGGAACTTTTATGGCCAGCAGTGTAATAAATTTATGGGACATAGCTTTAAATTAACTTTTCTCTATAGTAAATTTCTTTTTCATTTAACAACTGTATACGTTCATTTTCAACAGTACTCTTATCCATGTATAAAATAATTAGTTAAAAAATAATTAAATAATAATTAAATAATTAATAATAATTAAATAATTAGTTACATTAAATTGGACTGAATTAATCTAAAGCATTGACTGGAAAAGGCTACAGTGTACCAACGGCACTATACATTAAGGGTTTGTGACTGAGTTACTGGTACAATGCTACAATAAACAAAACAGACTGAGAAAATGAAGTATTAATTTGTTGTACTGTACCAAGGTTGTACCTGTTGTGGTAGTTTTTTTTAAACTAGTAGTCTTATTAGGTTGGATTAAAACAATAAAATAAGATAATACTAATAAGTAAATTTTACTCTGAAAAACAATACAGTACATAAATACAAAATACAGCGTTATGTTTTATGTGTATACGGTAATTAAATCAACAGTTAGCATGTTTAAGATTATATAACTATTCTTAAACAAGTCTTACTAAAAAAACAATGAATAGAAGATACAAGATAACAACAATACAAAAGCACATGGGTATGGTAAATTAATTAAAATGGTAATCACAAAATGATAATTATTCTGAAAAAAAAAAGATGTATTTTACCTAGTGCATGTTACTGGAATTACAGATTAAAATCACAAAAAAAAGAGAAAATAATTAATATGGTCTATCCAAGTAATATGGAAAATGTAATTATCTTGCAACTTACTCTGAAAAACGTGTGTGATTCCGTAAATGAGCGGAACAGGGCCTGCGCCGACCTTCGGGTAGGTAACCGATACTTGAGCCAGGCTAGCACATCCTCTCCATTTGTTTCTTCATGTGGTCGGTAGTAATGTACCGTGAACTGATTCTGGTGATATGAAACTCTGCTTATGTCTTCAAACTTGATACTAAGGGAATACAATTATAGGAAATTCTTAAAAGTTGGCTGCTATAGTAAAATTAGACAGAGATATGACAGTATTACATTTCTCATTGATGTTATAGTAATAAAATCAAGTAAAAGTTATTTTTGATGGTAGAAAGACAGAATTAGATGCTGTATTAAAGATCTGCTTGCGCAGTTTTGAAATTGAAAAACTGCACATGTACTGTATCAGATAAAATAATCCCAGTCTATACAAACCTCAGCCATGTGTAGTAATTAATGTCAACTAATTTATTTTCTCAACAAATTGCACCTAGTCAAATATATAGTACAGAAACAATGGCTGTCTTTACCGTGTAAATGACTAGGTTTGTTGGCATTGGAATGATGCAAATAACAAATTGCAAAAATATTACAAAGAACATAAAACCTTTGTCAAGTAAATTAACTAATCATATACCAAGCTAAATAGCTACCTTTAGGTTAAGTGAGATGAGGTGCACTTTCTTTCAACTATTAATTTTAATTTTCTTTTTAAACTACATATTCCAAATGTAGATTATATGGAATTGATTGTAATGTATAACTTCAGAACACAAAAGCAGAATTGCTTTGCCTAATGGCAAAGCATAGAAGAGTTTAAAGTTTTCAAGCTCTAATATTTCTCATTTCAGAAAGAAATACGTAGTGCTCAAGTTGTTTAATTATTATCCATGATGAGGGATTTATATCTCTGTGCAACGAGAAAATTACGATGTCTCGGGGGATGTCTCCGGACTAAGAATACTTAATTATGTAGTTAATTAACAATATTATCTCGTGTACAGCCAAATGTGTCCTAGATTCTGGACACGAGGGGAATTACGAAAACAATGTTTGGCTTTCTTTACAGTTCCGCAGACCTGTACCGATAGAAAGCCGGAAACGAAAGAGCATCAGACTGGTAAATTCCAATTTGGCTTGTACTTAATTAGACTTCTAATAATAGGACACAATATCATCTTTACATCACAATGAAAAAAATTAAAGCATTAATTTTACTGATATTGTTACTGTAGGAGTTTTTAAAACAAATATATGAATACAATGAATAATTTTTTTATGTTAATATTTCTTTTGAGATCTTCCATTCAACAATTTTAATGTGGTGTAGATTTTGTTTATTTTCTTACTACAAATTTTATTGTTATACCGTAGGGCCACTCAGAAGAACTACAATGTTCTTCTGAGGGCCTACCCCGAAAAAAAAAAAACACACAAAAAAAAACACAAAAAACATGAAAGAAACAGCAGAGAAAGTTGGCACTTAAATAATTGAAACGTACTGTAAACAAGCAATTACAGATATACAAAGTTACAAAAAAAAAAACAACATTAATCTATTCTTCCATTAAGATATATGAATTCAGTATTCTGTATATTTATTTGCCATTTGTGGAATTAATTTTGCATTGAAATACATTTGCAAGGGTCTGCACAAATAAACAAAAATAATAACAAGAAAACAATATCATAAAAAACATTCCCGACAACTTCCTATAGCTGTTAAAAATATAAACATCCTGTATTCTTAATATCTATGAACTATTCAGTATATAATCATATGTATAGTGTCCTTAAACTTGATTTTGTTAAACACTTTGCCATTGAAAGAGAGACTGTTCACTTTAGCTGACTATGATAGCACAATTTCCTTTTGGAATAATATCCTCAGTCAACAAATGCTCTTTAATTAGGGATTATATCACAAGACAAAAAACAAAAAAAAGTCAACAAGTTGCCATGACATGTACAGGTAGCTCTTAAGAGATTAAGAGACAATTTTAACATTTTTGACTAAAAATTCATTTATATTTATAATCAACTCATAATTCAACAGTTTTTTTTCTTTTTAACTCAGTTTTGTTTTTTTGTCTGTATTCAACGAAATAGGCCTCCTGTACTGTTTTAGACATCATTCAATAATCTGACCAAAGCACAGAAATTCTTGAAATTATGTAAAAAAAGAACCAGAGCCTTGCAGGCGTCAACGTTCCTATGCATGATACATGACTTAAAAAGTATATAGGCCCTATATATATACATGTATATATATACACGTACATATACACATATATATACAC